AGGACTATGTCGTCAGCGTATCTTACGTTGTTTATTAAGCATCCATTGATTTTCACTCCTTCGTTAAAATCCTCAAGTGCTTCTCGCATCATCCACTCACTGTAAATATTAAATAACAGTGGCGAAAGTCCGCATCCCTGTCTCACTCCTTTTTCCACCCTTATCCAGTTGGATTCTTCCTCATCAATTTTTATTATTGCTTTCTGATTTTTGTATAAAAAGAGAATAATTTTAATTATCCCTTTATCTATTCCAATTTTTTGAAGTATTTCAAATAAAATTGTGTGGTTAACATTGTCAAACGCCTTTTCATAGTCCACAAAGCACAGATAAAGATCTCTGTTTTTTTCAATCATTTTTTCTCCAATAAGCCTAATTAATGTAATGGCCTCTCTAGTTCCTTTGTTCTTTCTAAAACCAAATTGTGTATCATTTAGTTCTGCTTCAATTTTCGGTTCTATTCTTCTATAGATAGTATTAGTTAAAACTTTTGACATATGGCTTATTAAACTTATTATTCTATGTTTGTCGCATTCCAGTGTTCCTGCTATCTTGGGTATAGGTATAAATATTAAATTAGTAAAGTCTGTGGGTAGTTGTTGTTCTGCAAGAATTTTATTAAGAACATGACTTATAATCCTTCTTCCCTCAAAACCCATTGACTTAAGCAATTCTCCATGCAAGCCATCAATTCCAGGTGCCTTCTTATTCTTCAATTTTTTCAAGGCTGCCTCAACTTCATCCTCCAGAAATTTAGGGGTTTCATCATCGTCATATTCCTCTTCCAGTTTACATTCCATGTTATCCTCTGTTTTATAAAGTTTTGTCAAATATTCATTCCATCTTACTAATTGCCTTTCCTTCTGCATTAAAATTTCTCCATTCTCATCCTTTATTGCCCCAATTTTTACTCTTCTTTTTTTTCCTGAGATTAAATTAATGTTTTGATAGACCTTTCTCAGATCTTGAGACACTTCATGTTCTTCTAATTCATGACAGATTCTGTCTAGCCAATCTTCCTTAGCTTTTCTTGCCATACTTTTCACTTGTTTATCGATTGTTCTATATTTTTCTTTAGCATCTAATGTATTTGCGCTTTTCCATCTTCTCCTTTCATCCATTTTCTCCAACACTTCTTTCGTAATCCAAGGTCTTCTTGCTTTTCTTCTCTCCTCTCCCAAAACCTGGTAAGCACTTTCTTTAATTTCCCCTTTCATATTCTCCCAAAGTTCTTCCACATTTCCTTCCAAATTTAAATTTTGAAGTCTATTATTAGTCATACTCTCATATTTTTCCCTAATGTTGTTAATCTTCAAATCATCAATTCTCATTCTTTTATCATTTCTATTTCTTTTTATGTGCTTCAATTTAACTCGGATCACGGAGAGCAAGAGGTTGTGGTCGCTGCCACAATCCGCCCCTGGATATGTTTTTATATTTGTAATTGTGTTCCTGTATCTATGATTAATCAAAATAAAATCTATTTGATTTCTAACTTCGATTCCCCTTGATCCTGGGGCTTTCCACGTATAAAGTCTTCTTTCGTGATGTTTGAACCATGTGTTCATCACAGTCAAGTCCTTTTCCCTACAGAAATCAATCAATCTTTCACCTCTATCATTACGTTCTCCAAGTCCCCAGGGGCCAATAACAATTCCTTCTCTTCCTCTTCCAACTTTTGCATTCATATCCCCCATTATTAGGAGAATATCTCTATTATCTTTTCCTTGAAGACATTGGTTTATTTGCTGATATACTTCCTCTACTTCTTCGTCTGTGTGATCTGTAGTAGGTAGGTATGTTTGGATAATCAACATATCTCTTGGTTTCATCTTGATCCTCAAGGCAATGACTCTATCCGATATTTGCCAATATCCGTCGATTTTACATGATGTTTTCCTATCAAGGATAAATCCAACTCCTCGTTCATGTTCCTTTCCTCCTGAATATATGAATCTGAATCCTTCTTCTGTTTTTATATCGCCTCTTCCTGTCCATCTAACCTCGGAAATACCAAGAATCGATATTCCCAGAATCTTCATTTCTCTGATGACATTGGCCAATTTTCCAGTTTGATAAAGGGACCTCACATTCCAGCATCCCACTCTTAGACTTTCTTTAAGAGCTGCTTTTCTGATTGTCTTTCCTTTATCGGCACCAGGACTTCCAGACGGCTTTAATCCAGGCACGTCATTTGAAGCACTCGTTTCCAGGAAATCCAGACCATGTCCGCAGCATCTCTCCCTGGTAGCATACTGCACAAGGACAGACCCAGGGGTCCCATCTGTACTTGTGCATATCTCATTTATACTTCGTTAAATGTTCATCAAGTCTTGGAAAAAAGAAATAGAACATGGTGGTTTTCCATTGCCTTCCATGTTTCGAATTAAAATGTTTACTTAGTCATTTTTTAGTATTTTGTAAAAAATTATATATCAAATAACGTCGTAACGTATAAGCCTTGAACCATATATCGTAACATGTCTAAATACCAAACGTGTCATTCTGCGCATGCGCACAGCTATTTTAAACTTCAAATTTAACAAAAACTGAAAAATCGTTCTCTTATTCATTTTTTAGTATTTTGTAAAGATTTATATTTCAAATAACGTCGTAACGTATGAACTTTATACCATATATCGTAACATGTGTAAATATCAAACTTGTAATTCTGCGCATGCGCACAGTCATCATGAACTTCGAACTTCACAAATGTTGAAAAATCGTTTACTTAGTCATTTTTTAGTATTTTGTAAAAATGTATTAAAACAAGGTATTAACGTATAAGCTTTGTACTATATATCGAAACGTGTAAATACCAAACTTGTCATTCTGCGCATGCGCACAGATTCGTCAAAAATGTTTAATATTTTGAATTTCCATGCGAATACCGTCAGAACGTCGAAAATAGCGTCTCGCTAGTTTTTCGGATATTTTTGAAAAATTTAAACTGTCCCGGGAAATTTTTTTGTGTCTTTCAGTCAAATAGAATATTTTAAGTAATACATAAATTTTCGGATCGCGAGCATAGGCAGTGGCCCACGTCGCCCATGCCTTACGCTGGTTTTGTTTGTAGAAATGATGTAATTTGAATATAAATCATTTATAAATAAGTATGTCAAGTTATATTTTTATTACGACGTAAAATATATTTAAGGGTTTACGACCACAGTGACGGGTGAGACGTTGTTGAAACAAAAAAAGTTATGCATTTCATCACGTACATAAACAGTGTCGTATTTGGCAAGTGCAAATCAGCAAATACGTAAATTTTTGTTTATTTTGAACAATCCGAATAATCGAAAATTTGGATAATAGAGGTCCGGATAATCGAGGTTCTACTGTACATATTATTTCTAATTACCGTATTTTGACGAGTATAAGTTGCTGTCGAGTATAAGACGCACCTCTATTTTGAGACAGAAAATTTAGAAAAAAACTTTTTTATTGGGCGATTGCATTTTATTCGTTTTTTTATTCAAGAATATGACGGATGGGTTAATCAATACCTTTATTAAACTGAAATAATCGTAATTTCTTAATGTAAACTTAGACGTCACACAATGACAATCGACAGAACATGGCGGCAATGACTCGTGTGTCGCTATTATGATAATCTAGGTACACTAGCTATTCGGTTGAGGGACCATGTGCTTAACGGATCACTGCACAGTAGTGGTCTTTAGAGTGGACCACTACTGTAGATATTTTCACTGTAATAATGGTTACCTGTCGAGTATAAGACGCACCATGGTTTTGAGCCCCAAAATGTAATAAAAAAAGTGACTTATATTCGTCAAAATACGGTATATGAAAATAATCGCACAATAGTTTATTACAACCGCATTAACGTATCTTATTACAAATTTTTATACTACACGTGAAAAAATAGATAAGATCGCTATTGTATATTTTAATATTAGTGGCGGAGTGGAAACGCAGTATCATTGGCATTCAAAAACCAGATTCGCGCACGCGCTTTACAAAGCACCAACTTCATACGGTTTAGCCGGTGGAAGCCTAGGACCTCGGGTGGCTGCTACGCGTATAACACATCCAATTCTATCCGGGACCGGTTCCGGGCCGTTGGCCGCTCTCGCCCGATTACGCGAATCGCGAGTAGATTTATAACTTAACCCAACCGAGAAGAATTTACCTGTATGCTATTATGATAGTTTTCTGTATAGTTGACGGGACAAACAAAACCCTGATGAAAAAGCCGAAATTTTACTTAAACAAAATTATATTAATTAAATTATCCACAACCGTGAGGCAGATAATTGTGAAAGCTTATCAGACCAATGATGGGCACAAACGTGGTCTGATAAGCCCTCACTGTTATCTGCCTCACGGTTGTGGATAATTTAATTAATATAATTATATCAAGGGGTAGAAGCAACTTTTGTAATAATTTCACTTAAACAAAAGCTTAACCGAACCATCTCTAGCCGAGTACAGTGGAGACTAATTTCTTCCTATTATTAATGTAATAGATTTAATTAATGTAATTTTTAATTGTAGCCCTTATATCGTGGCTAGCGATTCGGAATGTAATTGTGATATTAAAAATGCATTTAGAGAAGTCTACGGTTTTTACTGGCTTATCGAATAAACAATACGATTGGATCCTAAGTCTCTTAAGGATCGTTTCCCGGTTAGGGGATCTCTTTCCCTGCCCCGCCAGATTGGCACCACAGGGTTGAGAGACTATGTCTTTCCTTCGTCATTGACTTACGGCGATTCTGCCGCTAAACCTTAAAACGACAAAGCTTTGGGCCCTGTTGAACGTCCGGTTTCCCGTCCGCGGAACTAGGCCCTAGCTCGCTAACGTGACATAGCTTTTAGGGTGTACAGCTGAGACTGCACTTTTTCCACTGACTAATTAATTTTCCACTGACTAATTAATAGATCTTTTATTCTTTATGTATTTTCGGACAGCGGGATCCCCTCCCCTACAAGTAAGAGGGAACCCAACCCAGTGCGTCCACTAGGCACATAGATCATAAGTTTATGATCATTTCCATCAATTCCTTTAGTTTCATTAAGTTTCCTTTACTAGCTGCTAGCGTTCGAAGTACTTGTTCAGGCGGCCGAGACCAGTTGACTTGGTCGGCCCCTCGGCGGAAATCCTCTGTAAAGGGACAGTCAAGTACGTAGTGTCTCGCGTCCCCGCGAGAACTCCCACAAGAGCAGCTACCATCTCCTTGCCCGAAACGGGACTTGAAATGGGGAAACCTCCCGTGGCTGGTCAGTAACTGAGTCGTGAGCCCGTTGCAGCACACCGGAGTGAGGCCAACTACAGACACGAAGGCGTAGGTCGACCTACCTACCGTACTTTGATTCCAGCGCTCTTGCCAGATGGTCATCGATCGTTTTCGCAAGGTACCTTTGATATAAACAGCCGAGGGTTCAACCGTCCTCGTTATAAACGGACCGCTAGCTCCCGCCTTTGCTAGCTGATCGGCACGCTCGTTACCCAGGATCCCGGTGTGGCCTCGGACCCAACACAGAGTAACTTGTCGCTCGTGCCTCGCCCTCAGCACCTTGCGTCTGATCTCGTGTACCAGCGAATCGCGATGGTATCCGTTGTGCAAAGCCTGTAGCGACGACTGGCTATCAGAGTAAACCGTGACCGGCTCTGGACCCGGATGTGATAGGATCCACTGGGACGCCCCCCCAAGGCCACCAGCTCTGCCTGGAACACGGACGCCTCCTCATTCAATCTGACCGACTGTTCGTACACTTGCATTCCGTTACAGAAAACACAGAATGCGGCACCTACTAAGCTGCCGTCTTTTGAGCCATCGGTGTATATTTCAACACCCGTACCAGTCGGTTCACCGACTTCCCAGCCGAGTCCAATCCGTTGGGCCGGATGGACTTTGAAAACATCTACTCTCTGCCTAAGTCTGGCTGGGTACTTCTGATTACAATGCGTTGCCTCTAGTCCTTCTACTGTGGTTCTGTAGAAGGCCGCCTCTTGGCTGACTACCAAGGGCAGCGGGAGCAGCCCGGCCAAGACCAGGGCCGCATCCGTAGACACAGTTCTGTAGGCGATTGGATCCTAGACCATCACTGACGCGCAATTGACTGGTTGCCCCTGGATGTCGGCTTCTTATAGAAACACAGCTTCCCTATCGTCAAATGTCACGGCACGCCACAGCCGGGATGTTGTCTAATGACACCCATACCCAAAATCAAATCGTACTCCGTTCTGGTGGGGAAGCTTATACTAGGTACCCTCACACTCATCCCACCCTCGTTGCCAATTTTGCATTCGATCACGACTGCCTCATCGCTCTTAAGTATGGTCCCGGACATCCCTTGATGCGTGAATCATTCCGCACGACCCATCCTACATTCGACCTCTTGATTGTATCAACTAAATCATCCCTTATGACCGTCCTTTCTGTTCCCGTGTCGACTAGGCATACGACCTTATAACCCAACATCGACCCTTCAACAACAGGCAATCCCTGTTCACATAATTCTACACTTGAGGTCAGTTCCAACTTTACGTGCTGGCCATTTGTCTGACCCTCAAAACGGCCCACCATTAGTTTAAATTCTTATCTTTTTTACAGTATGTTGCTAGGTGTCTCACACGAGTAACACCTTCTATCGCGCCTCTCTCTTCTATCGAAGTCCCCATTTCCCTTAACGCATTCAACCAATGAAGCGACCTACTCGCTTAACACCCGAACTTGACTTTCGAGATCCGCTATTACACTTTCAACCCTATTCTCTTTCTCAGTGAGCATCCCCTTCTGTTCTGAGTTAGTACACACTTCACTTACGATCCCCCTCTTCCCGCAAGTTGTTTTAATCTCCTCCTCCTCTTCTGTTTTCTGAATGGCCTGGTACAAGGTTTCGGGCCGGCTCTGAATCACTTGTCTCCGAATGTCGAAAGCTAGCCCCTTCATAAAACAATCTTTCACGGCATTATCACGGATGGTGGAAAGATTCCCATTGCGAGCTATCGCCCGTGAGAACAATGACTTGATGCGGATACCAAATTCGCAAACCTTTTCCCCCTTTTTTGCGTCATTTTCAACACTTGGTTGAAGGGGTCCTGCTCCTTGTCCCTCCGGCCGAAACACTTTAAAAGGCCTTCCTTAATTTCCTCATACCGAGTGACCCCTTGGTCCCTTAGGTCGAAGAATATTGATAACGGTTCCCCCTTAAGCCTAGCCTGGACCACCGTCACTTTGACGGTTTCCTCCCAACTAGCCAACGATGCCACGCTTTCCACTGTCTAGAAGAATCTGTGTACATCCAAAATATCACCGGGCATGTTAGAGTAGCACGGAATCATTCCCATAAACCCGGTAACGATCGGGACGTTACATACTTCCCCTGTCGATCCACTAACCTCATTAGTTTCCATTATAAGGGAGGCTGAGCAACGAAAAATGACTATAATACGCGAACAAATGATTCTTAGTCACGAAACAAACTGATGAAAGCAGGGAGTACAAACCGAGCCGACTTTTACACCAACTTGATCCTGTCGTGGACACCAATGTAGTAATTTCCCGTAGGACGAGGCCTGCAGAGCTAAACAAAATTTAACGGACAAGTCGGCCTTACAAATATAATAGGTTTTAATTAATTCCCGTTGATACGATCGCGATATATACATAAAACACAAAATTGACAATTTTCGGTATTCACGTAGCAAGGTAAAATACTACACACGTTACGCACTCCCTTCCTCTTCCTTTAAGTGGGTTCAAGTCACGTTATAAACGGGGAAACAAAGAAAGGCGCGTAACAAAGGAAAATTCACAAACTAATCTTTTTGAATGAATCCTCCGATGATTTTCTTTCCCTCAGACACGTAGTAGCTCGATGTGAAATCGTCGTTATTCGGATGAAAACGGATTGCCGTATCCAGGGCCGGATCATCGCATAGACAAATGTCTAGGGCCCCGTTAAATTGTCTATTTTGAAAGATATTGATGAAATTTTTAAAATTCGTCATACAAACGTAGCTGACGGCGACGACGAGCCACGAGGACGTATCAAATACAGTAGACCCCTATAACACGGGTTCCTATAATTACGATTCCTATAAGACGGCGAAAAAATTGCGACGATATCCGTACAAACCTGGTAAAAATAACTCTTATAATTCGGTAAAACGTCATCGGACAGCCCAACTACTTTCCGCCGTCCAGCGCCACGCTACGGAGAATTTAGGCGGGTAAATTGAGTTTACTATCGTCTGTACAGTATTATATAAATTATATATAAATTAGGTACTGTACATATAATTATATATTAATTATATATAAATTAGGTACTGTATATATAATTATATATTAACTTAATTTATTGTAACTTTATTATAATTATATATATGCTTTCTGCCGCCTGGCAACACGCTACGGANCTGTATATATAATTATATATTAACTTAATTTATTGTAACTTTATTATAATTATATATATACTTTCCGCCACCCAGTGCCACGCTACCGAGAGTTTAGGCGAGTAAGTTGTTTACTATCGTCTGTACAGTATGTAAATTAGGTACCGTAAGTCTAATACAGTACTGTACTTTTATACATTTCTTGTGAAAGAAATATTTCTTATTCAACGGCCATAAAAATTATTTATATTAATGATGTCTCCAAAGTTCAACGAAGTTTTCGCAGAAAAATAACTTATCAGAAATCGCGGCAGCGGTTTGGTACGTTGCTCCGCGACGAAAACAAGCTTGAGCAATGGCGACGTCGAACGGTACACACTCGGTAAGTAATCCTACAATTTTTTGTTTATAGCGTAGTTTATACGGATTATTCCCCCCATAAATATACGTATTTTGGAAATGTTGAGTCGAATTAGTCTAAAATTGATTAATTTTATGGAAGAAAACCTTTCAAACAGCCGTGGTCTGTAAACTTCACACGTGTCGGGCTGTGATTGGCAAGGACTCGTAAGAAATCGATTCATAAAGAACGGAACGTATCTACCGTGTTATAGGGGGGTCGACTGTAAATACTGTATTGCTGAAAAAATGGTAGTGGCGATATTGATACTGAAGAATTGGACAAGGAATTGTTGCAATTTAAATTGATTTGCAAAAGCCAAAAATTAACGTTGCCATCTGATATGCTGCAATTTATAAAGAGCACAAAACTAGTAGCAACATTTCCAAGTATAGAAATATTATTGCGAATATATTTAACTTTGCCTATATCAAATGCATCTGGTGAAAGGTCATTCTCAGTATTAAAACGTATAAAAAATTATTTACGAAACTCACTGAGTGAATTAAAGTTAAATTCTTTAGCTTTTTATACATCGAACAAAACGCTTTGGATAATATTAATTACGATGAAATAATTGATAATTTTGCTGAATTAAAGACTAGAAAACAGAATTTTTAAATAAAGTTTATTCATCCATATTTCGAAACCGTGTTGTATCTTTATATCTGTTTAAAAAACTGCAATGTAGCACAGTAATCAACACATGGCATAACTCATTCATTTATTCCAGCTTTTGTTGATCTGTTTAAAAACTGCAATGTAGCACAGTAATCAACACATGGCATAACTCATTCATTTATTCAAGATTTTTTGTTGAGACGCGTTCCTACACACGTTTCGGGCTCCGTTTTTGCCCCTCCTCAGTCAACTAAAACATATAAAAACTAATTATATACATATTATAACCCGACATATGAATTAAAAACGACAAAAATAAAAGTGTATTTCGTTAGTATATACAAGTAAGACATAACATACCATTTTTTAAGTAAATTCCTTCTCTGGATGTATTTTTTTTCCTTGAACGGGAATCATACTCTATATACTTGATTATTTCAGATACCAGATTGAAGATTTAATCTTACTTCTTCATGCTTCAGACACAGATTGTCTTATTTAAACTCTACTATACTTTGAAGACCATAAAAAACAACACAATTAGTGTACTTAACATGTAGGTATTAACAATATACAGGATTTTTTCTTACGAACTTAGTCACAGTAGAGTTCTTGAGGTGTCACAAAGGATTACAATGGACATATGGCAGAGTTCTTCTTTTTCCGTATGTTCCTTATAATTCTTCTGTCCTTATCCTCTTTGTATCTAATGAGCTTCTATCACATTTTTTCTTCTTTAATATTTATATCGATACGAAGTAACTAGACTTCACTTTCTTAATTTTGTTCTTTCAACTCTTCGATTCTAGAGGCGTTTCCATTCTATGATGATTTACATAACTATATGGTTTCTGGTAGGCAAAATTTAATTATGTTTCGTATTTCTTTTAAATACTACTCTAAAAGTATTTTGAATTTTTTCCTTTTTATTTTCCAAAAATTCTCCTTTTTTTCAAATAATTTTTCTTTCCAAATTCTTTTACAGTATTTTTAGCCAATTCTCGTTAATTTTTAAACTTAAGTTTTTATTTATACAATGTTTATTTTTTATAATTTCTATACTCTCTTTAAATTTTCTGTGATAAGTTTCTTTTTCTTTATGTAGGATTTTTACATTATTTTGGTCAATATTACAATTATTCAACGTGCAATGTTCGAGAAAGGCTGAATTAATTCTATTATGTTTTAGATCTGCTACGTGTTCCTTTAGTCTAACTTCCATTTTTCTCTTTGTTTCTCCTATGTAATATTTTTTATTTTCACATGTACATGGAATTTGGTATACTACGTTTTTTGTATCTTTCACTTGTTGTCTTCCTGTTGACCTAGTTGTATTATTATTATTTAGTCTGGCAAAAAAATTTTTATATTATAATTTTTAAATTGCAGTTTTTTAAACAGACAAAAGTTTATTCATATTTATATACTTACTTTTTTTAAACTGTCTTGGCTTTTACTTAAATTATTTTTTATATTATTCAATTTATCTTCCATGGGTAAAATATTATATTATTTAAATACTAAACAAAAAAGGTTAAATTAAACATTTAATATTTTAAGGTAATATTGTTATTGTATAACAACTTTTGTTAGACATTTAATAAATTTCATTTTTTTTTAAATTTATAAACAAACTGTCCAAACTTTTCTAGAAAAACTAAAATTTATTGTTGTATATTAAATATTTTTTATTAATAAAAATTTAAGATTTGTTTCAGTTTTTCACATTATTTAGTTTCGTTTTATTTATTGTTTTATATTTTTTGTGTGCTCTATTTCTTGTGGGAGGGAGGGGGCCCGTGAGAAAATAATGTCAGGGCAGGATTAACCTCAAAGTGGGTTAATCCTGCCCTGGCCGTATCTCTTTCTCTGTCTTCGTTTTCGACCCTCTCGATCTCCTATATACGTGGCCAGATCACCGCCAAACTCGGAACAAAGAAGAAATAAGTCCCTCAGACATGTGGGTCACAACCTTTTATACCACGCCAAGTGGATACTCCTCCTCCTCTAAATCCTCTTCACGTGACTACTACTAACCAATCCGACGGCCAACATAGAGTGAACACGGGAAGGGTGATGCCACGAACAAAACGGGAAGGGGTTGGGGAAAAATCCGAAAAAAATAGTCGCGAAGCACTACACTCCTAACAAACCCGGGTTTATCATCTCTTTTTGACCTTTGTCGATGAGATATATATGTAGTATACCTATTCAATATTTTAAATAATTTATATTTTAACCCTTATGCAAGAAATGAGTAATAAAGAAATTGACTATATAAATGGACTTTTTTTTTTTTTTTTTTTTTTTTTTTTTTTTTTTTTTTTTTTTTTTTTTTTTTTTTTTTTTTTTTTTTTTTTTTTTTTTTTTTTTTTTTTTTTTTTTTTTTTTTTTTTTTTTTTTTTTTTTTTTTTTTTTTTTTTTTTTTTTTTTTTTTTTTTTTTTTTTTTTTTTTTTTTTTTTTTTTTTTTTTTTTTTTTTTTTTTTTTTTTTTTTTTTTTTTTTTTTTTTTTTTTTTTTTTTTTTTTTTTTTTTTTTTTTTTTTTTTTTTTTTTTTTTTTTTTTTTTTTTTTTTTTTTTTTTTTTTTTTTTTTTTTTTTTTTTTTTTTTTTTTTTTTTTTTTTTTTTTTTTTTTTTTTTTTTTTTTTTTTTTTTTTTTTTTTTTTTTTTTTTTTTTTTTTTTTTTTTTTTTTTTTTTTTTTTTTTTTTTTTTTTTTTTTTTTTTTTTTTTTTTTTTTTTTTTTTTTTTTTTTTTTTTTTTTTTTTTTTTTTTTTTTTTTTTTTTTTTTTTTTTTTTTTTTTTTTTTTTTTTTTTTTTTTTTTTTTTTTTTTTTTTTTTTTTTTTTTTTTTTTTTTTTTTTTTTTTTTTTTTTTTTTTTTTTTTTTTTTTTTTTTTTTTTTTTTTTTTTTTTTTTTTTTTTTTTTTTTTTTTTTTTTTTTTTTTTTTTTTTTTTTTTTTTTTTTTTTTTTTTTTTTTTTTTTTTTTTTTTTTTTTTTTTTTTTTTTTTTTTTTTTTTTTTTTTTTTTTTTTTTTTTTTTTTTTTTTTTTTTTTTTTTTTTTTTTTTTTTTTTTTTTTTTTTTTTTTTTTTTTTTTTTTTTTTTTTTTTTTTTTTTTTTTTTTTTTTTTTTTTTTTTTTTTTTTTTTTTTTTTTTTTTTTTTTTTTTTTTTTTTTTTTTTTTTTTTTTTTTTTTTTTTTTTTTTTTTTTTTTTTTTTTTTTTTTTTTTTTTTTTTTTTTTTTTTTTTTTTTTTTTTTTTTTTTTTTTTTTTTTTTTTTTTTTTTTTTTTTTTTTTTTTTTTTTTTTTTTTTTTTTTTTTTTTTTTTTTTTTTTTTTTTTTTTTTTTTTTTTTTTTTTTTTTTTTTTTTTTTTTTTTTTTTTTTTTTTTTTTTTTTTTTTTTTTTTTTTTTTTTTTTTTTTTTTTTTTTTTTTTTTTTTTTTTTTTTTTTTTTTTTTTTTTTTTTTTTTTTTTTTTTTTTTTTTTTTTTTTTTTTTTTTTTTTTTTTTTTTTTTTTTTTTTTTTTTTTTTTTTTTTTTTTTTTTTTTTTTTTTTTTTTTTTTTTTTTTTTTTTTTTTTTTTTTTTTTTTTTTTTTTTTTTTTTTTTTTTTTTTTTTTTTTTTTTTTTTTTTTTTTTTTTTTTTTTTTTTTTTTTTTTTTTTTTTTTTTTTTTTTTTTTTTTTTTTTTTTTTTTTTTTTTTTTTTTTTTTTTTTTTTTTTTTTTTTTTTTTTTTTTTTTTTTTTTTTTTTTTTTTTTTTTTTTTTTTTTTTTTTTTTTTTTTTTTTTTTTTTTTTTTTTTTTTTTTTTTTTTTTTTTTTTTTTTTTTTTTTTTTTTTTTTTTTTTTTTTTTTTTTTTTTTTTTTTTTTTNCCAAAACTACACATCGCACGTGAATGGTGTTTGTATGTGGTGGTAGCCCCAAGTCTCCATTCGTGCATAGGGGTGGTTGCGTCTCGATAGCTATAAGGGTGCGGGAGATATGGGCTTGAAAGTGGAAGATTTTCTATTTCGATTTTAAAAATTTTCGAATTCAAATTGCTTCGATTATAGAACGATTGTAAACGTTCCAGAAAATTGATCAAACTGAAAATAGTTCATTTGACTGGACGTGAACAGGAGACGTTCTGTCTGGAAACGGGGGACCTAATTCTTGCATTCTGTGAAAACAGGTAAGATTAGCTATAATGTAATTATCTTAATCTTCACTATAGTTACTTTTTGCTCAGCGAACTCGGTCCTTGCAGCTAGATTCTAGATTACTTAGAAAAACAGTCTTTTATATATAAAAAAACTATATTACATACAAATGTACGAACAAATAAAATCCAAGCGAAGCGGGTCCTTGCAGCTAGTACTGTATAAATTTAATTTTCAGTAAAATAATTGTTCTAAAGTAGAATTACCCTATAGAGTATAGACCACTAAAATATCACCGTGAATTCCCAATTCGGTATTTTATTCTGTGGACCCTGGTCGAGAACCACTGGTTTAGACGATACACTACAGAAACAATGTTCTGGTATGATTTAATCTTAAAAAACGCACAAGAAAACAGACAATTACTTAAACTTCTTTTACTATTCGTTTTTGTTTTCAATTATAATACACTAATTGTTGCAACAATGTCAAATATGGCAAAGCATTACATGGACTCAGGTAATTCATTTCATTAAAACAATAACATGCAATTTATATTCATAATATACATAAAAATTTTTCTTTAAAAGCTACTTTAAACAATTAAAAACAAGCATGCCATTTAATGTTACAATTCAATACAATACATTAAACTGTACATAACAGCTCGAATAATTATATGATACAAAGTCAATGCTTTTTTTACTTTGAAAGCATAAAATTGAAAATTGTGCAAAATTAACAAATGCAAGTTTTCTAATGTTCCATATATTTATCAGGATTTTTTAAAAATCCATAACGTACAATAAACAAACTTTACCTCTGATAGAGGACTTAGATGTTTTGATTTTCTGAACAACAACATTTTCTATTTCTTAGTTCTTGTCTTAATGTCGACACCATTCAAAAATATTGTCCTTTCAATACTTTTCAGTTAGTTTTACCCTTGAATTTGAAAATTTCTGCTGCTCAATTTTGCAACCTGGCACGTTTCTGACACTGTGCAATTTGTCATATTATTTTTATGGGCATCCACGGTTTCTCAATGATACATGCTTGTAGTTTAGCATGCTGAATGCCTTACATTTTGGTTGCCTCATATCTTGCCAAAATTTTGAAAAACAATGATTATCTAACATGCATCACAATAGCTTATGCATCGTTTATATTTTTACTTTAATTTTCCAATAATTTTTATCAACAAAATAGAATACATGAGTTTCACTTTTTAAAAAATGTATCACAATTTAAAATTTTGATTTTTTTCTTTTTAATCTGGGCATCAAAGTGGATAAAATTTTTTATACAATTGGGCTTGTACATATTTTTTAAACGAAACATTTAACAATGACAAAAAATAAAAACTTTTCTGCAATTATAAAATAAATTTGCAAAATGTGACAATTTAAATTGCACAATTGAACTTTTTGAAAGTTTTTCGTTATAAAAGGTAAAACTCCATTTAGCTCGCTTTGAAATGATGATGATATATCCTGTTGACTGACTTCTAATTGTGTGGAAGAAGAATGTTAACTGTACATTGTGTATATATATTTATAACTGGAGATAAATGAACTAGCATGTCTTCTACAAATATTTTAGTCAGGAGGCAAGAAACTGGACAGGTGATATTTATTACAAATATGGGGACGAACATCTTCATTCTGAAAATTATAAAAGTTAAAAATGGACATTAAAGGATTTTACATTTTATAATTTACAATGTTACTTTAATAAGTCAGTTATTTAAATTAATTAATATTTAAAATTTGTAAATAAAAATCTCAGCTTTGTGAAAATTATTTCTTTATCATATCAAAAATTAAGTTTAAATGAGGAATGAAACATTATGATAGTATTCCAGAGCTGCGTTTCTCAAAGTTTTTGATTACGTGATCCAATGTATTTGTAGTGGTTCGGCCATCCAATGTTTGAAACTGGAGTCACTATATATTATATAATGAAACAAAATGATGCATTATGGATGAATGTAACATCAAGTATATTCCTGTTAAGAGTGCTTCCGACCAATTTCGATTTGTAATAAATAAATTTTAATAGTAAAAACTGAAATTAAAATAAGCTATTAAAAAACTGAAAGAATGGTGATTGTAAATAAAACAGACTGTTTCAAAATTATTCACAAGTTACTTTACTTTGAAAAATATTAAGTTTTTTTTTTATAAACTTAGTGAATCCTTTTTAAAAATGTACAGATTGTAAGATTTCGCCAATTTCAAAAAACAATATTTATAATTTTTGTCATAACTCAGGATGTATTTTGTTCATAAGTGAAGTTTAGACTATTTGCAAAAAGTCAAAAATAACTTTTCGAACTCTGTGTTTCCAACTTGTATAGTTTATATAAATTTGTAAATAAACCGTATACACTGACTATATTGAGTGTGGAGGTGTGCTTTCACTGAACCTACATCAGAACAATTTTGAGTCATGCTTAATCCAGCAAACCACTTGAGAAGACGGAGTTCAGAGGAGGAAACTTCACTCTGTGCATTTGCAATCAGAGGATAGCAGATTCAAAACAACAGACGATCAATGCTAAAGTTCTAGAACATGTGCAAAAGTCATTTGTTCATAGTCTAAGAAGTACTTAATTAAAATAATCAAACACCTTAGTATTTCCAGCAATGAAGTATTTAATAAGATAAAAACGTTTTCGACTATATTTAATAGTCTTCTTCAGTTAAGCCACTTTAAAACAAAAACGAACGTAAAATAGAATGCAAGCACAACGGTTTAAAAATGGAAAATTAATTACAACAAAATAAAAATAAAATAAAACGTAAAAACAAAATTAAATTACAATAAAGTATTAAGAAAATTAATTGTCGTGGTAAAAAGATTTCCATGCGAAAGATAGACTTTCTGCGTCTCTATGGTTGATGCATCGTTTGTTAATATGGGCCTTGTAAATTTCAAGTTTTTCAATATGTTTAAGTACTTGTTTGTTGGTGGCTGTCCTAATAATCGATGCTTTGTCCCAATGTACATTAATATCTTGATGTTTAGCGAAGGCTGTCCACATTTTTAGTAATAGAATACTTATGTTCTTTAAGCCTCTGTTTTAAAAGTCTCGTAGTGGCACCAACGTAAACGAGATCTGAATTAAAACGGCGGTCACTTAAAGCAGTGGTTCCCAACCTTTTTTCGTTAGCGTACCCCGTGACATGTCATATCTCTAGATTGTACCCCTCATTTAAGAAATTTAGTGAGTAACCGTATTGTTAATTTTACATATTGTAACTTTAAATTAAAGAAAAAAAACCTAAAAGAAAAAATGTATAATAAAGTTGTGATTGTTGCAAGAAACATTTTTTATCTAATAATTTTTTAATACTATTAGTTTGTGATACATAACATATTATTTTTTCTGCCATAATAACTAACTTTTTTCTGTACCCCTAAACAACCTATCGCGTACCCCTAGGGGTACGCGTACCACAGGTTGGGAATCGCTGACTTAAAGGAATAGAATAAACTCCTGTACTATTGTTACGGTTTCCTTTCTTCTTATCATTTCGTAAAATTCTATAAATCGTAGGATTATGACGATAAATAACTCTTAAATTATTCTTGTGAGATAATTTTTTAATCATCGATTGCAGGAAAGGTATATGGTTGAGAACTACTCTCCGTCCTTGGTTCTTAGTTGTAGGTTGCTTATTTGTTTGATTACAAAATTTAACAATATGAGCATTAATTTCACTTATACGATATCCCTGTTGTACAGCTATTGTACGTATGTAATTTAATTCTCTGTGTGTCAAACATACTCGTACAGTGGGTATAGGACCGCTTTATCCATGATCGAAAGGCTGCATTCTTAAAATTCCGAGGATCAAAGGAATTCTTCGGTATAATAATAGGTAGATAGCTAGGCTTTCGATAAATATCTGTCCAAATTTCCCCATATTTACAAGTTATAGACAGATCCAGAAAATTTACGTTAATGTCACTTTTCTGGTCCACTGATGAAGTCACACCATATGGGTTGTTATTAATTTTGTTAAGGAAATATTGAGCGCCATTACTATTCCTCCAAATGATGAAAACATCATCAACTTATCTTGCATATACAAGTATGTCATTTATAAAGATGGGAGTACATTACTTTCTAATCGTCGTAAAACTAGTTCACATAATAACGAGGATATCGGGCGCCCTATTGGAACCCCTCTTTCCTGTAAATATGTGTTCCCTTCAAATACAAAAAACAAAGTATAACAAATTAGGTGTGCAAACTCTAAAATGTGTTGGTGATACTTCATTGCATTATGTAGTGCTGATCAAAGCTGATAAATCCAAAGGAGTAGTTCTTATTAAAAGAGATTCCTACAACCAAAAACTGCAGGAATACATCAGAGACACCTAGTGCCAGCCTGCTCCTGACAAATATTTAGAATCACTACAACGAAGAGTTAAAAAATTCTCTTCAACCCTTTTAGCTCACTATTTACGAATGCATAACTCTGTAAAACAAGCATCAAGAACACCGAGAATCTTCGCCTTTGACAAAACTCATAAGCCTGACTGCCTTATACGTCCTGTCATAGAGAAATGCGGATCCCCTACTTTTGCAATTGAGAAACAACATTTTGTAACAAAAATAAATCTGCCCGAGGATTTTTTTAAAATTACTAAATTGAAAACAGTAACTCCCGAATAAAATCTTAGTCTCGAGGTTGTAAAAGGAGTGCAGAAATTCTGACATCAATTTTTGCTTTATAGTGCTATGCATATGTGGTGTATACCTGAACGGCGAATTAAGCGGTAAGCGAGCTATGCAGGCGCGTAGGGCCGAAGGAGCTCCCGTAGTCTTTAAAATGCTACTGAAAAAAGGGATTGCGAAAACGCAGAAGACAGAAATAGTTAAAAAAAACACTTCGACATATATAGATACATGGAATTAATAAATGATATAGCTTTATGGCCAACAATATTAACAGATGCTATTATTGATCATATTCTTAAAACAAACCAAAAAGTATAGAAAAGGGATTTCTTAATAAACGAAAAAAAGAGTTAAGATAATGGAAATAGATAAAACACCAGATGAAGGAATTAACTTGATACCCGAAAAATTATTTAAAATACAAATTTACAGTGTTCTTGACACACTATTGTGTCAAATAGAATGGCGCTATGAAAAAATGAAAACTATCTGTGACGATTTTTGCTTTCGCTGTGGCTGGTCTTTACAATGCATGAGTTTGCTGATTTAAAAAATTCAGCTGCAGATCTCGCTATTAAATATAGCAAAGATTTAAAAAAGTACGAATTCACAAGTGAAATTAAAAGTTTTAATTTTGAAGTAACGACTCTTATACAAAATATAGAAACTTCATCTCCGCTTAATATTCTATAGGCTCTTCATGATTTTGGTTTAATCGAGTCTTACCCAAATATCAATGTCGCTCTTCGAACATTTCTAACTCTTCCCGTTTCTATTTCTTCGTGCGAGAGAAGTTTTAGCGAGTTAAACTTAATGAAAAATTATTTAAGATCAACTATCGGACAAGAACGACTATCCAATATTTCTATTATTTCAATATAATACAATATCGTTAAATATATTAATTACGATGGTGTAATTAATGAATTTGCTGAAATGAAAGCCAGAAAAATTCAATTAATATAAATCTTATTAAAAATCTACTGTAATGTTATTTGTTTTATTATTTTCCCAAAACCAAATAAATTAAGGAGCCTAAATGCAAATTCTTGCACAGGGCACAGGAATGGCTAGATACAGCTCTGAACATTTTTATTGCTGGATAGTTAAAGGTTTATTTTATTTTATATTATTCATTCCAGTATAAGTTCTTGTTTTTACATTTACTGATATTGATGGAGAATGAGAATGACTTACTGTCAAGCATCATTTGCAGTAAGAAGATCACTTTCCATGTCAGTGAAAAAGTGAACAGGCACAATGTTAGGATTTGGGATAGCAAAACGCCCATCGACATGTGAAGGTTGAATGCAACTCTCCAAAAGTCAAGTCAATTTATTTTGTACCATATCAAAGAAAGTGTTGGACAGTTCTCCTTTTGGGAGGGCATCAATACTGGTTCTAGTTATCTAGACATGTTAACTCTGTGGCTACTTCCACAATTGGAGGAGGGTAATGAATTACTGTTTCAAAAAAATAGAGAACCACCACACTGGCATCTACATGTTTGGCAACATCTGAACGGACAAATGGACAGGACATGCTGAGAGCCAACAATATTTCCTTCATATGGACACCCAGATCACCTGATCTCACTGTCTGTGACAATTTCTTAATTAAATACAGTAGAGCGTCGATTTTCCGAAAGTCAATCATCCCAAAGAATTCCACTCGGCAAATTTAAATTTTCGCCAGTGCTGTGGTGCTTCAATCTTTGGCTATGTCTTGGGCTACTCAAATATTTTACGTTTTTGATACTAAATTAACATCTGAAGTATAATTTTTTATTGTTTTTATATTTTTCAATATATTTATTTTGTTTGTACAAAATAAAAAAATAATTTTTAACGATACAATAGTCTTTGTTATGCTTAATATTGACGAAAATTCAACGCGAAGCGACACGAAACGGAGAAAAATTTCAACATCGGATACGTTAAATTATTTTTTCGTACATAAATCGGTTATCCGAAATATCAGTTATACGAACAACCCCAGTCCCCAATTGATTCGGAAAATCGACGTTCTACTGTAATAGCACATAATAAATGCTAATGATGGCCTCTAAATGACAGCCAGAAACATTCAAGCAGTAAATTTGTGTTTATTACGTGCTGGAAATCGCATTTAAATGTCGATTATTTAGTTATACATTAGTGCTGTTTTTGACAATTTCTTATGGGGCTGCGTGAAAAATACAATGTTTATACCCTCAATGCCTCACAATCTGCAACAGCTGTGGACTACTGGCCATTGAGTCCATCCTGGTGCATATGCTCAAGTATCTATGGTGCAAATGTAAGTGGAAATATTGCCTTGATGTCTGTCACGTGATATCTTAGGCACACACTGAGTGTCTGAGGTAAACACAAAAACTTATGTTTCATTTTGTAGTGACATCAATGTCATATATATGACCATAGACAGTGACTTTATGCCCATTTAAAATCATAGGATATTTGAGGACACCCTGTATATTAAAAATATTCTAAGATTATGAAACCTAATTTTGGATTTCTAAATAAATTTAGTGCTTAATAAAATGATTGTTCAACTGTAAATCCAATAAAGGATAATCGTTATTATGCAAAATGGTCAAAAAGGTGTCTATCAAGTTTAATGCTTTATTACAACTGAATGACAAAATATACAAATCTTACTTTAATATCATTGAAAACAACATCTGAAGACATTACAATGGGTTGAAAATTGTTGTTAAGTCAAACAGAAACATACAGATGTTTCTATTTGACTTAACAACAATTCTCAATTATAGAATGTCTTTCAGAACAGTGTGAAGATTTCAGAGTTTAAAATATGAGGCAGATTTCTAAAATAAACTGAAAACATTTGTTTATTAAACTCATTTGCTGAAAAAGTGTAAATGGATTTGATTTTACAAATTATTAGTTCCAGCTGTAGTTTTGGATTTGAGTGAAGATTTCACACTTAACAGATAATGTAAATTTTTCAAAAGCATAGAGTTCTTATATACATACTGTATTTCTTTATCCTGGAGAATTCTCAGGAAAACAAAGCAACTTCCTGGTATTCTGGGAAATCCAGAAATTATTTATTAACCTTACTTAGCATAATAAAAATGATTTGCACAAAACAAATAAAATGTGTAAATAATTAAGTACATCAAAAAACCTTTACCATCATAGATTTAAATGATATTTGTTCCATTTAGTTAGAATATTGTGTTCTATTTTAAAAATTTTTGTTCACTTGAAGATGATGAATATCAGTTCATTGAAAGTGCTAGCAAAAGTTAAAAAACTGTTAATGCCACACTCAATGTGTTTTTACTTTCTTTTTACGTGATATTTGACTTGATGTTCAAGCAGCTGTATTGTTATAAATCTGTATAGCTAAGTACAGACAGACAAAGAGACAAACAGGAGTTACTTTTGTTCCTGAACTCAAAAGGGACTATGTGGATGGGGAGTCATGCTTTCAACTAGTTGCTGATAGACTGTACTGTTATATTTGTAACTTGTTCACCGTAGTGTATATAAAATAAAAATAAAAAACGTCAAGTCAAATTATGAGTTAAGTTTTTATATTTTGAACTCAACAAATGTTCAATTTTGTCCCACGCATCAAAAACCTTTACAATGTTATTGATCAATATAAATCTAAAATGAACATAAGCATTTCTTTGATATTTGCATTGTTATAAATTTAAATAAATATTGACCACACTGTTTTTTTAAGGATTATCAAACAATCTTTTATTTTAAAAACCTTTTCAGCTCATTTTAAGCCATCTGTTAAGAATAGATTACATAAAATAGAATAAAGAGCATTTCAGCTAAACAGAACAAAGTAATTAAATGTATAAATATAAAATTGCAACGTTTAACAATACTTTGTTTCTGTTTGTTCATCCGTTGTACCATATTTGCATTTTATTGCGGAGGTAGTAGCCTCTAAAGAAAGGTCACCTCTGTTTTTGTAAAATGGTGGACGAACGAGGGATGAACAAACGTAAACAAAGTATTGTTAAATGTCGCAATTTTATATTTATATATTTAATTAAATATAATACCGTCAGCCATGTTTATATTTATTAATTTTCTTCAGAACAAACTAAGTTATTAAATTATGTTCTAGAACAGTGGTTCCCAACCTTTTTTCGTTAGCGTACCCCGTGACATGTCATATCTCTAGATTGTACCCCTCATTTAAGAAATTTAGTGAGTAACCGTATTGTTAATTTTACATATTGTAACTTTAAATTAAAGAAAAAAAACCTAAAAGAAAAAATGTATAATAAAGTTGTGATTGTTGCAAGAAACATTTTTTATCTAATAATTTTTTAATACTATTAGTTTGTGATACATAACATATTATTTTTTCTGCCATAATAACTAACTTTTTTCTGTACCCCTAAACAACCTATCGCGTACCCCTAGGGGTACGCGTACCACAGGTTGGGAATCGCTGTTCTAGAATAAAAGTGTGAGGTAGCAGAAATTCCTGTATTTGAACTAGACTTTAATATTAATATTGTTCGAGTTATGTAACAATTGTTGTTCATAGCTACCTGAGAAAGTCTCCTGTTACATTTTCTCGAAGGCAACATGATGCTTTCTGGTGATCTTTTAACCTCTGGACGGCCAATATCGTCCGTGAATATCACCAGAGACAGTCGAAAAAAGTCAGTCGTTGTCTGTCCTTCTGACGAAGGAAACCCACACCGATTACTCCTGGAATATCGTCGACCAGTGCCCATTTTGGATAACTTGTGCCATCATTGTGCTAGTGGATATTATAGTGGGACTAATCACCATCGGAACTATTATCACCCAACGAGAGCTCCATTGGGAAATCACCTTTTATCACCAGGTATTTATGCAACTCACGCTCGTTATGTGAACTCTCTCTCGCTCTCTCTCTCTGCAATCAACTTTAGAACCTCTGTATCTTATCCAATTTATTTTTAATTAAATCCTTGTTAAGTGTTAATTGTAGTTCGAGTCACTTCCATATGCTGTCTCTTGATCGGCTGACATTACAAATCCATCTGTCCACTTACGGGACCACTCACGCGACAGTGTGACATAGTAATTGCCGTCTCGTTTTTCCGTGTTCCGATAAACATGGTGGTGTCAATCCTGACAGGGCACTAAAGAGATGCCGACCCGAAAGGTCACAAAAGCTTTGACCAGAAGAACAAAATTATTTACATTAAACTGTAAAACAGTTACAACTTAGAATAGTGTTTTTCAAATTTTATCATATTTGCAAAATTCCAAAAATTCTTTAAGATTCTTTACAGAATAAACAAAGCTTCAACACTTAAAGATAATATAGTTAGTACATAATTTAATTTTGTGGTAATTTTAATATAAGTATAATTTTGTAAATAGTAGATAAATGGAATTGCACAATGCCATAACGTTGCAAATGCCATTTTTCTCTACATACATTTTATTGAAGAATTGAATTATAAACACAATGTTCTCTGCAGAAAAAAATACTGTGGTAATAGTTGTGTAATAAGTGGCTGTATTTTGAAACTGAATTTATGTGAAGCCTTATGTCATTGCATGCTTCAAATAATTTTGTCCTGGTCAAAGCTTGTTCTTCTACATAATTTTAATAGTTTGTTCTGTTTAACTGAAATGCTGATTATTGTATTTTACGTAAGCTGTTCTTAAAGTTTAAAACTATTCTTAACAGAAAATGGTTCAAATTGAGCTGAAAATGTTTTTAAAATAAAGATCAAGTTTGGTAATCCTTAAAAAAGCAGTATGGTTAGTATTTGTTAAACTATGGTGTCAATTTTGTATATCATGAAGATATACATTTATAAATTTAAATATAGATAGCATACATCAGCATATTACTTCCACATACATACTGTGATTGTGTGTGTTTGTATGTATATATATAAACACACACAAAAACAGAGATGCCAAACTCAGAATAGACCTATCAGTATTGAAGGATCATATATCATGGTTAGAAAGCAGTAAAGAACAATGTCCCTGTCTATCCTGCTTCTAATATGGTATCTTTGCTCCAATTTTAAGATATTTATAAACAGGGTTCCTACTCAAATTGTTGTTTTAAATTCCATGACTTTCCCTGACCAACTTTTTACAAATTCCCTGATCCCAGCTCCCTTACAGTAAGGCACATTGACAAAATAAAAGAGCATTTAACTTACTATGCAAATATGCTATTGCTTCTCCAACATTATAATTAGTTATTTTTTCTAATTAACACTTATATATTTCTTTTATAATTGCCCAAATTATTAAAACTAAAAATAAAATATTTTATTAAATTAAAATAGTCTATCCTGTTAATTGACAATCATACATCTATGTACTTTGAAAGAAGAAATTATTTAATTATTATTCAATAACAAATCCTGTATATTCCACATACAAAAGTATATATTTATTATATTTATCTCTTAATAAATTTGCTGAACTTTATAAATTATTAATACACTGGAAAAAATCAAAAATTGTTTTATTATGCAATCAAAATTTTAAAATAAAGAATGATAAATAATATCTTTTGAATTATTTTTATCATTTTTTGTACTTTGTAAATTTTTGGGGAAATTTTGTGTGTGCTTGGGAAAAATTTTGGGTCATGAAAATATCCTGCACCATATTACTTCTTTAATATACTTAGTCAAGCATATTGTCAGCAAAAAATCATGGCAACCAAGGAGGCATATTCCCTGACTTTCCATGACTTTTTCCAAACACTAATGAAAATCTCTGATTTTTCCTGACTTTCCAAGTGCTTAGGAAACCTGTATAAATTATCTTAACGTTATTGTAAAATAACTTCTAATTTTTTCAAATTATAATACAGTACGACCTTGATTATCCGGACTAATTGGGGATGAAGGTAGTCCAGATAAGGAAAAATTTGGATAATTGAAACAAACACTTTAATTTGTCTTTTAATGATAATAGAACACATTTTCTTTTCAATGACATATCGATAATATTAAAAGTAAATACTGTATTTAAACCGTGATCAAATTTTCAAGAAACAAACGTTTGTATTGAATTTGGACTACTACTGACCAACGCTAACAGACTACCTATTGTTTAAAAGGCCCTCTAGTAGCACAAGAAGACGGATTTTATAAAATAAAAAGCAGCTGAAAGTGCATTTTTATGAATAAAAATTTGACAAACTATTTATCGTTTTATGACGAATAAAATTTTTTTGTTACGTTCGCAGCTTTTAAGTAATGCATAAACCTTTGGATCGTGAGGCATAGGCAGTGGCCCATGTCGCCCATGCCTTACGCGGCCCTTGGTCATAGAAATGATGTAATTTGAATATGACATACGTATTTATAAATAATTTAAGTTATATTTTTATTACGACGCAAAATATATTTAAGAGTTTATGGCCACTGTGCCAGGTGAGACGTTGTAGAAACAAAACAAGTTATGCATTCCATCACATACATAAACAGTATCGTAATTCGCCAAATGCAAATCAGCAAATTCGTAAAATTTTTGTTTATTTTGAACAATCCGGATAATAGAGGTTTGGATAATCAAGGTTCTACTGTACTACTTTTATAAAATTAATTATATTAAAAAGTAATTAATATATATAAATAGAAAAACACACACTTTATCATAAGGTTCTTAAAATTTTGAATATTCAGTAATAAATTATTGTACAATAGATTTTTACAGTAAATTTAAATTAATATTTCCCATTCAATACAATAGAGATCATATAATTGATGAAATTCACCATTTGTTTTTATGTCATGCACATGTCACTACACTCTGTACATCACATAAACCCTGTTGCAGTGGAACAAAAAAATTTTACACAACATTATTCAATTCTGACATACATACATACAAGAAAGACTTTGGCCAAACACAAAGTGTTTAGTCGGCAGAAAAGAGGGTAAGGAAAAGGGGGGAGAAGGGGGAGAGGAGCTAGATAGTAGAGAAAGGTAGGATCCCTCTAAATGATGTACATATGGGTACAGTACCCTCTATGTTTGATGTTGGCATGCAGTTTTTAGGCTGCAAGGCTGTAG